ACTTGTGGGCCGAGTCGATCAAACACTTGACGTCGTGGACCAAGTCCCTTTGGTGATGTTGTAGGGGCCGTGGGGGGTGTTGAAGATGTCTTCTTCCCAGGTTCGACTGGTGTTTTACAATGGTCACATAAAACCTTTGATTCACGAGTTTCGTCGAAACTTGACCTTGTTATAGACTCATCGGTGGGTGGCCCTGATTGTTCTGTGGGTGATGCATTCGAAAATAAATCAAGCTTGATTCTTATTCGGCCATTCCGTTGACGGATATGCTGCACCGGGACGTATTCGGCCTTCCCTTTGTTTTTAGGAAGATGAGCATCCACCATACCAATTGTTGTTGAAGGGAAGGGATTGACGTCGACCACCATCTGCTTTTCCGGAAATTTCAACTTTCCTTTCTCGATCCAACTTTGGATTGTATCCCGGAAGACAACACAATTATTGGTTGCATGCTTATTAGAATTATGATACTTGCAGTATACCTTTCCTTTTAATTCATCGGCTTTAGGGATAGTATGTCCCGGCCGAAGCTTGATGATCTTTGCTGCCAATAATTGATCGAAAATTGCATCGGCTTTGGTGATGTCGAAAGTGTATACTTTCGATGATTTACTCGTCTCCTCAGCGGTCGCACGGATTTTGGTGTCTTTGGAACTCACTTAAGCCAAAGCCTTGCAGACGTAGGGTTTATCTATTAGTATCTCGGCCGCATCCACACTGACATATTGAGGGTCCTCGTTCTCGGCCGATGCATAGCTAACCGTGGGATTCTTGTACAACGTTCCCCGGGATGGTGACTTCGAGATCTTTTCCTCTTGGAGCAGATAATCATACTGTTCGACGTGTTGAGCAAGCTCGTACATATCTCGAATGTTTGCCCCCAGAAACTTCTTTTTGTACTCCACGTCTAATCCGTTGAGGGCGATCCTGACGAATTCCACTTCGGGGAGTGGTACTCGGCACCAATTCCTGGCCGACTTAAACCTTGTTAGGTACTCCATTGGAGATTCGTCGGATGCCTGAGCCATCCTGGCCAACGATGACACGGACATCTTTATCCCTGGCCGATAGAATTGTTCATGGAACTTTTCGACTAACTCTTCCCAACTCTGTACGGAGTTGGGCGGAAGATTAATGTACCAGGCGAAAGCTGAGCCTGTCAGTGAGAAGTTAAACAATCGTAGTTTGTAGAAGTCGCTATTAACGTCCACACACTGTGTTGTGAACCGAGCCACATGTTCTAATGAGGATAAAGACGATTCCCGGGCGAAAAGGCTGAAATCAGGGATCTTAAAACCTTGTGGGTATTCAAACCTTTCTACATAAGCCGGGTATGGATGGATGAACTTTGGAAACTTCGACCCTTTCTTTAGGGCCGAGTCAATCATTCTTTGGACTTCGGTCATGTTTACGGAAGCGGCTTCTTCTCCCTGGCTTGGTCCCTCGGATCTACTTCCCGGTCTACCTCTTTGTTTTAAGGTGATTGGCTGCAGCCGGGCGGGCCCTCTTTCGGCTGGTACTGGCACATTCGTAGAAAGCTGCCGAGGTTGGCCGTCCTGGCCATCTTCGAAGGCTTTACTAATTAATATTTCAAGCATTCTGGTCTGTGTATTGTTGTTACTTCGTATTGCTTCCAATAAATCATTCATCTTTTGACCAATCGACTGCTCGACCTGACAGTACTGCTCATCAAGTTGTCTCCAAGGAAACGACCTAGTTGATGGATCAGAGCCTTCCCCATCATCGTCGTCGCAATCTTCCACTATCCCCTCCACAAACATGCCCGTCGTTTGATTCGAGATCGCTGCGTTGTGAGGTTGCCCGCCGAGACAAATTTCATTTTCTCGGCGTGTCACACTTGTGGCCTCGGGCGGTGCAGCAATGATCGGATTTTTTGCAGGGTGCAAATCCTGCCCAAGGCCTTGTACTGGTAAGTCAGCTGTTGACTTTCCCATGGTTGTTTTCTTCTTGGTAGACCGTGTCTCAACGGTCATGAACTCCGAAGGTTTAGCACAATGGTCCTACTGGGCGTGCCAAAATGTTGACTCTAAAAATTACAAAACCTACGTGGCGCGCAGGCCGAGTAACTAATAAGCTAACTACGTCCTTCAGTTGAATGCGGGGCGTGCCAACTCGTTGGCCGAGCTCGGCCGAGGAGTAAAATTTAATGATGTCGCGTTGAGCGCTGTTGACTTCTGTATCTTGCGATTGTGACCGAGGAAGGAACGCTCTCGGTCTTTGGGTTCTATAGCCTGAAGACGAGGCCACTAATTCTACGGAGTTCACAAATCGTCGGAGCCTGATTCGGTCACTGTGATTATATTCGTAAGAGTATAAGCACGCCGAATCGAGACTAAACTATATGGGCACAGGTACTCAAATATTATATATGTCTTGATGGTAAACGTAGTTCGGCCGTCGGAATGCCGAACCCTGAAACTTACTTGCGAGTATGCAATCATAAAATCACTCGGCGTCCAATGCGCCGAGCAATGCAATTCGTAACACCCAACTATGCCGAAAAGGCTAGTAAGATGACCCCTACCAACAAGGGTTCGAAAACCCTTCTCGGTCGAGACTTAGATAGATAATCGATCGACCTCGACGCAGTGCTGTTTATCCAAACTGAAGGTGCTTCTCGGTCGACTGATTCTGCAGCAGCAGTGCTGTTTATCCAAACTGAAGGTGCTCGCCGGGTGCTTCCACAGTGCTGTTTATCCAAACTGAAGGTGTGTCGGCAGGAAAAGAAAAGGAAAAATCTCAAGATGTTTGAGAGGTTTTGCGCAGGGCAATTGTATGCTGATTTTGAAGGGGCTTTCTATTGCGTGATTTCTTGTATTTATAGCATCCCATTCCTTGAGATCAATTCGCATTCTTATTCGGATTAGGAGTCCTTGTCCCATTTCACCTCTAACTCGAACAAACCTACTCCTACTGGGATTCTGAATTTTCCTTCCTTTTGAAGCTTTATTCCTTGCCGGTCGAGAATCCTGGTTGCACCAGGACTTTCTTGCCCTTTTCTATTTATCCGGACTACTTAGGATAGGATTTGGCCGACCCAGCCAACTGGCCTGGGATTTATTATTCGGTCCATAGTAGTTGTTATCACCTTGGGCCGAGCACATCCTGCTACTCGGCCCAGCAGTAATATTTTGGACCCAAACAACATATAAGGATCACTTCCCTGAGCGATGTGGGATGTCACACACACACACACACACACACACACACACATATATATATATATATATATTTTCTAAGTACATCAATATTTTTACACTAAAGAGAGAGGGAGATAAACTATGCTACACAATGAGTAACCTAATTAAGTACAAGTACGCATATATATATATATATATGTATGTATGTATGTATGTATGTATGTATGTATGTATCAATCAATTTGAAACAATGTAAAAAAAAAAGAGCCAAAAGAATGTATCCAACATTGTTTTGAATTTGACCAAAAGAAAACATTGTGATGAATGATAATATAGTTGTCACATGTCAAAACAGTGTATTTGTACATTCACCATATATAAATATCTATAATATGTAACCCATAAAAATGTTTAAAAAGAATGTACGCGTATAATTATATGAGTACAATTGTGCACGTAATTATAAATTTAAAAATGTGGGTAAATTTTATACAAAACAATTAATACATTTTATACAAAGAATGGTACGTTTTATATAAAAAATGGAACATTTTATATAGAAAACAATGTATACATTTTATATAAACAACAATGTATATGTTTTAGATTAAATCAATAAATTGATTTTTACATATAACAAGTGGTACATTTTTAAAGAAACAGGGGTACAATATAAATAAATTATGGGTACAAAAAAAAATGTGACATCCCACATCGCCCAGATGACTGATCCTTAAATGTATATTCCCATCCTACCTAGCACGAGGCCTTTTGGGAGCTCACTGGCTTCGGGTTCCGTAGGAACTCCGAAGTTAAGCGAGAAGAGGGCTAGAGCACTCCCAGGATGGGTGACCCTCTGGGAAGTTGCTCGTGAGTTCCCAAAAACAAAACCGTGAGGGAATGGTAAGCCCAAAGCGGACAATATCGTGCTACGGTGGTGGAAGCGGCCCCGGGAAGTGATCCGCCCCGGGTCGGGATGTGACAAAAAGGTGAAAAACAATTTATGGGTAACAAATAAAAATTTTAAAAATATGGGAACAAAAAAAAATTAATATAAGGTTACAAATTAAAACTATAAAGAAAATTAGTATAAATTAAAAAAAAAGTTGCAAACTAAAAACGGTTACAAAACTAAAAATAAAAATATATGATACAAAGATTAGTTATAAATATAAATATATTAAATGTATCGTTTTTAACACTAAAACCTAAACCTTGAACAAAGTTCAACAAAAACAAAACTTTAATAAATGAAGTAAAGAAAAACGAGTAAATAGTAACAACTCTTTGAAATTAACTCAATTGAAGTAATGGTATCTCAACTAAAAATTCATTACTATTAATCTCTCAACTTTAATCCAACTCGAGAAATGATCCCTCAATTTTAAATCAATTGAAGAAATGATCCCTTAACTTTTACCAAATTATAGCAATGGTCCTTTAACATAATTCATTTTGATAAAATTCTGACGATGTTGACGAAAAAGGTCGTAGCTACACGTTTTGATAAGTTGAGGGATCCAATTGTAGCAATGAGTTTTCCAACATAACTTATTTTGACAAAATTTTGATGAAATTGACGAAAAGAACCACAGCTACACATTTTAATGAATTGAGAGACCAATAATAATGAATTTTTAATAGAAGGATCATTATTCTAATTTGATAAAAGTTAATACCATTGCTACAATTTACGCAACAAAAAAATATTGAAACTAACTCAGTTTAACTTCCGTCGAAAGGATATTACATTATAGGCTGACACGTGTAGACGCTAATACACCTTCGATGTTTGACAGGTGTTGAGGTGAGAGCATATGTGACAACTTAAAAGAAGCGACCAGACACCCAATATTTCTACATTCATCAATTGATCACGGCATTTCTTCTGATTCCACAATTAGTAACGGATTGCCGAACTCGAAGCTTTTCTTCCTCTCAAATTTTAACGATGGAGGCCACCGAGGAACAAGGAGCTGGGATCCTGCACTGCATCCTCCCGCCGCGTCTCGAAGACGCCGGCCTCGAAGACTGCGCGCTCCCGCCGGACTCCATCAAGGAAGCCTTCCTCAAAGCCGCCACGGCCGTCAAGTCCTCGATCTTCACGTCCGACGAAGATGAAGAATCCTTCGAAGATTGCGTCAATGACCCCTGGCCGGACCTGAAGGATCGGACCGGCGAGCTGGTCGGAGCCGAGCCGGAGACTCGGTCGGCGGGACCGTGCGGCGGAAACAAGGGCGGGTCGGTGGACGTGGGCGGAGATGAGGTGGTGGTGGGCGGCGAGGAGGAGAAAGGGGACAAGGTGATGGTTGGAGGTGAAGATGTGAGAGATGGCGGCGGAGATAGGGATTGTGTGGATGGATTGGCAGGATTAGAGATGGGAGAGAAGGTGAAGAAGGGTGAGGAGGAAGAGAAAGATGGTGGAGGAGCAATTTTGGTAGAAGGTTATGTTTGAAACCCTAATTTTAGATTTTAGATTTTAGATTTTAGTAATTGTGTTTGATCTTTTGGGAATTTGATTACTTGATGTTTCTTGTCTACTGTATAGTGTTATGAGCACTAGACTAGTAGCTGTGATAAACAAAATGTTTAGTTAGTTTGTGATATGAGAGTTGCAAACTTGATTGACATTTGCCCCTGGAACTAAATTCGAGTCCGAAATTGCCCCTTGAAACTTGAAACTTGAAACTAAAAACTCCGTCACTTTACTTTGTCTCACATTGTCTTGTGGCTATCTATTCCGTTGGATGTCCGATAAAGATAAAGGGGGCAAAGGGAAGGAGGTGATCTAAAAGTTGAAATGTTTGGTTGGTTGGTTGGCTTGATCTACTTGCTGTTGTAACCCTTACCAAAATTCTTTATTAAGGATGTGGTGGAAATGGGGATGGGAATGAGAATGTAATGGAGTTGTATGGGAACATGTATGTATCTCCTCTCACGGGAGAGAGTGGGTTTCTATGGAAATGGTAGAATAGCATAGTCGCATGGAAAGGTTAAAGGTGGATGTACCCACAATCTTAAAATTGCTGAACCCATAACAAATAAATAAATAAAATGAATGCAATGCTGATGGGTAATGAATGCCCACAATGTCTTGGTGGAGTTTTTCAATGTTCTCACAGATTGGTTTTTAACATTGGCATTGTTTATGACTACACACATATTGTCAATTCCTATAACAAATTGAAAATTGACTTTGGGAATGTAGGATATCATATCGTCAAAAAGTATGTTGTAAATTTTAAATGTAGTAATACGAGTTACTCTATAAATAGAGCATTCGACTGCAATCAAAAGATACAGAAAAATATAAAAGAAGAGAACGAGAGAAAAGATTAATAACATCATATATTTATTCGTCTTTTATTTGTTATCCTCTTGTGCTATAGTTTTAGTGTGACATTTTACATTTGCCTCGCACCTACCATTAAAAGGTTATCTCTATAACTTTGACCAATTTATAACATGTTATCAGCACGAGTCTCTAAATATAATTATTTTCTCATCTCTCTTCGCCGAACTAAAGAAAGAAAAAATGTTTTCTCTAAGGTTTTTATTGTTCATCTTCTTCCTCTGCTTTAAGTACGCGGTATACCTTCGTGACGAACTGTTTGCGCCATGCCTGCTTTTAGTTCTCAACCTAACGGTTGCATACATCTTTGATTTCTTGTTTGGTTTAGAGATTGATTACTAACCCAGTGTTTATTTATGTTAATTTTACTGAAATCCAAAATGGTGCGGTACAATCGCCTATCTTGAACTGCAAATTTATTCTTACTGCAATCCAAGACGATGCAATATTATCGCCTATCTTGGACTGCAGATTTAATTTTACTACAAATTTTAGGTGGAGTGGTATAATCGCACACCCTACCCTGCATATTTAAATTTGCCTGCTTTTTAATTTCATTGCAATTTGAGGTGGTGCGGTATAATCGTTCACCCTGCTCTGCGTATTTAAATTTTCCTGCTACTTGAGTGGTGCAGAATAATCGCCCATTCTATATTACATTATTTTAATGAGAATGGTGCGGTACAATCACCCTCCTTATTCACCCTGAAAATCTCAAGCCAGAAATTTCGAGTGCTTATCATTTTGGCCTGAAGATCAAAATGAAAAATTTGTAAGAACCATAAATTCTAACATTATATTCCTCGAGGAATACGTATTATTGTAAGTTCTTACACATCTCATTTTCTTTCAGAAAAGAAAATGATGAACTTAGCGAAACTTGAATTTGCTGCCTTGGATATTACTAGGAAGAATTACCTGACCTGGATACTGGATACCAAGATCCATCTGGAAGCAGGGAATCTTGGAGATACCATCAGGGACGAGAGCAGCTTATCTTCTCAAGATCAGGCAAAGGCCATGATTTTCATTCGTTGCCATCTTGATGAGGCGCTAAAGAGCGAGTACTTAACGGTTGAAGATCCGTTAACTTTCTGGAATGCCTTGAGAAACAGATACAATCACCAGACAACAGTGCTTTTTCCAAGAGCTCGTTATGAGTGGACTCATCTGAGGATCCAGGACTTCAAGTCAGTGACAGAGTACAATTCTGCGTTGTTCAGAATTACCTCTCAGATGAAGCTATGTGGGGATATTATTACTTAGGAATATATGCTGGAAAAGACTCTCAACACATTTCATACCTCCAACGTGCTCCTATAATAGCAGTATAGATTGCGAGGCTACACTGAGTACAACCAGCTGATATCTGTGCTCTTAGTAGCTGAGCAGAACAATGAGCTTCTGATGAAAAACTATCATTCCCGACCTACTGGATCTGCACCATTCTCAGAAGTAAATGTTGCTTCCCTCGAAGTGAACGCTACATCTTCTAGTAGTGATAATCATAAACAAGGACGTGGCTGCAAGCGAGGTCGGTGGAACAGCAAAGGCAAGAACCATGAAGTTCAGTTTCACAACCAGTTTCCGAGGCATAATTCAGGCTCGAGCTTCAAAAATGTGAATCACCACAAATGCAAAGCTTATATGAACAATGCTCACAGGAACTTTGAATGAGCCTGCCATAGGTGTGGTGGCAATGGGTATTGGGCGCGTACTTGTCGTACCCCAAAACATCTAGTAGATCTGTATCAAGCCTCCCTCAAGGAGAAGGGTGTCGAGACTAATTTTCTCGACTAAGCTAGACCAATGGATATACCTGATCCAGTGTTTGACTTATCAGGGCAGTTAAACACAACCCACCTAGATGTTCCAGACTTTATTGTGGAAAGAGGAAATGAAGTATACCGATTCGATTGAATCATTGATGTACTTTTATTATGCTAAACTTGTAGTATTTCAGATTTAATAAAAGTGATATTTAAATTTTTTGTTATAACTGGCTTTTAACTCTGATTCTCTTACTCAGAGAGCATGGATAAAAACTGTGGTTAATCTCATAACATGAGAAATGACGGAGATATTTGTCTTGCAGACAGCGTAACCACACATACAATACTTCGTGATTGAAAGTATTTCTCAAACTTAATACTTAAAATAGTAGGTGTAACAACAATATCAGGACATTCAGATGTAATTGAAGGCTCAGGGAAAGCCCAAATTATGTTACCAAATGGAACAATATTGTTCATACAGAATGCATTGTATGCTACTCGAGCTACTCGAAATTTGTTGAGTTTCAAAGACATACGCTTAAATGGATACCACATTGAAACGAAAATTGCAAAAAATGTTGAGTATCTATGCATTACCTCTAATGATATCCAGAAGGGTACATTGGAGAAGTTGCGTGATTTTTCAAGTGGATTGTATTATACATATATAAGGATAATTGAATCACATAATGTCATGAACCAGAAGTTCATTGATTCAAAGGTTTACATGTTTTGGCATGACCGTCTGGGTCATCCAGGATCCACCATGATGTGTAGGATTATTACCAACTCTAATGGACATCCATTAGTGAGCAGACACATTGCTATCTCAAATGATAACCCTTGTAAAGCTTGTTCTTAAGGGAAGTTGGTAATTAGAACATCACAACTAAGGTTGATGCTGAATCCCCATCATTTCCGCAAAAAATTCAAGGGGATATTTGTGGGCATATTCAACCATCATGTGGACTATTTCGATATTTTATGATTTTGGTTGATGCATCTACTCGATGGTCACATGTTTGTCTCTTGTCTACTCAAAATGTAACATTTGCGAGACTTCTTGCTCAAATAATTAAGTTATGAGCATAGTTCCCAGATTATCCCATTAAGTCAATCCAACTTGATAATGATGTTGAATTTACGTCTCAAACCTTTGATGATTATTGTATGACATTGGGCATTGATGTTAAACACCCTGTCCCTCATGTTTATACTCAAAATGGTTTAGCAGAAGCATTGATCAAGTGGCTTCAGTTAATAGTTTGCACTTTGCTTATGAAAACCAAATTACCAGTATCTGCATGGGAACATGCCATCTTACATACTGCATCATTGGTTCGATTGAGACTTATAGCCAACCATCAATACTCTTCAATACAACTCGTGTTTAAACATCAGTCAAACATTTCACATTTACGAGTTTTTGGTTGTGCTGTTTATGTGCCTATTGCACCGCCACAATGCACTAAAATGGGACCTTAGCATAGACTGAGAATTTATGTGGGTTTTGATTCACCATCTATCATTAGATATTTGGAACCCTTGACAGGTGATATGTTTACAGCTCGTTTTGCTGATTGTCACTTTGATAAGACAGTCTTCCCGTCGTTAGGAGGAGAAAAAACCGTTCCAGAAGAACGGAAAGAGCTGACATGGGTTGTTTCTACCTTGTCTCATTTTGATCATCGCAGCATTCAATGTGAAAATGAAGTGAGAAGGATTGTTCATCTTCAAAGCATTGCTAATCAAATGCCAGATGCATTTAATGATGCTATCAAAGTGACAAAATCACATATACCAGCTGCAAATGCACATGCAAGAATTGATGTTCCTGTTGGACAAAATAAAGTGACATCGAATGATTCATTTGGTGCACGCCTGAAGCTTGGTAGACCCCCAGGTTCAAAAGATTCAACCCCTCGAAAGAGAAAGTAGAGGGCACAACTGAATCCAAATGAAATCATTCAGGAAGAGAAAATGAATGATAAATCCATAATTCATGATTCTGGACTTCCAGAAAAAAAATGTCTTTGATAAGACACATGTCCCTGAAGAGACAGAAGTACATGAAAGCAAAGAAATCTCTATAAATTATGCATGTACAAATGAATTGTGGGATTTGAATGAAATAATCATCGATGATATGTTCGCGTTCGCAGTAGCTACTGAAATCATCTTAAGTGATGATATTGAGCCCCACTCTGTTGATAAATGCAAACAGAGACAGGATTGGCCTAAGTGGAAAGATGCAATCCAGGCAGAATTAAATTCCTTGGAAAGGCGGAATGTTTTTGGACCAGTAGTCTAAACCCCGCCTGGTGTAAACCCGTGGGTTACAAATGGGTATTCACAAGGAAACGCAATGAGAAAAACGAGATTGCAAGATACAAAGCACAACTCATTGCACAAGGCTTTTCTCGAAGACCTGGAATTGATTATGAGGAGACATACTCTCTTGTAATGAACGCAATTATGTTTCGTTACTTAATAAGTTTAGTGGTTTCAGAAAGACTTGACATGCGACTTATGGATGCCATCACTGCGTATCTATATGGAGAATTAGATACTGACATATATATGAAAGTCCCAAAAGGAATTAAGTTGCCTAAAACAAGTAACAAACCACGAGGTATGCTCTCGATCAAATTAAGGCGATCATTGTATGGGCTGAAACAATCTGGACGAATGTGGTATAATTGTCTCAGTGAGTATTTGATCAAAGAAGGGTATATCAATAGTGTCATTTGTCCTTGTGTGTTCATTAAGAAATCCAATTCTGGATTCGCTATAGTGGCAGTATATGTTGATGATATGAATCTAGTTGGAACTCCTGAAGAACTCAATAAAACTGCTGAATATTTGAAAAGCTAATTTGAAATGAAAGATCTTGGAAAAAGAAAATATTATCTCAGCCTGCAGATCAGGCATTGTGCTAGTGGAATTTTGGTCCACCAATCAGCTTACATTGAAAATTTTTTGAAGCGATTTGGTATAGACAAGGCTTATCCACTCAGCATGCCAATGATTGTTCGTTCTTTGGACATTAAGAAAGATCCATTCCAACCAAAAGAAGACGATGAACTGGTCCTTGGTCCAGAAATACCATATCTGAGTGCAGTAGATGCTTTGTTGTATTTAGCACAATGTACTAGACTAGATCTAGCTTTTTCAGTTAACTTGTTAGGAAGTTATAGCTCTGCTCCAACAATTCACCATTGGAAAGGTATCAAAGATGTATTGCAATACCTTCGTGGGACAACAGACAAGGGTCCCTTCTACTCAAAGAACTCCACAAATGACCAGGTCCTTGTTGGATATGCAGATGCTGGTTTTCTCTCTGATCCGCATAAAGCCCGCTCACAAACTGGATATGTGTTTAAGAATGAAAATACAGCAATCTCATGACGCTCAACCAAGCAAACATTAGTTGCTACATCTTTAAATCATTTAGAAATACTTGCTTTACATGAAGCAAGTTGTGAATGTTCTTGGTTAAGATCAATGATCCATAATATATGGAATTCATGTGGTCTAACTTCGAAGAAAGACAATCCAATTGCCATCCATGAAGATAATGCAACTTGTGTTGCCTAAATGAAGGAAGGATTCATCATGGGCAATAAGACTAAACACATATCTCCAAAGTTTTTCAGTGCACATGAGCTTCAGAAGTCTAAAGTTATTGAAGTCAAACAAATATGTTCAAATGAAAATCTGGCAACTTGTTCACCAAATCTCTACCAAAGTGCACGTTTCAGAAGTCAGTGCAAAGTATCGGATTACATCGATTTAACAAATAGCTAAATTTAGAGAATGCGAAATCAGGGGGAGATACATATCAGGGAGAGCATCCATGATCATGCTTGTTGTACTCTTTTTCATTCGATTAGGATTTTTCCTACTGGGTTTTTCCTATTAAGGTTTTAACGAGGCAACATAAGCATACTTGACACTATATCAACAATCCCAAAAATGTTGTACTCTTTTTCCTTCGCTATGGTTTTTTCTCACTGGTTTTTTCTAAGCAAGGTTTTAACGAGGCAACTGATGTTGATATGTGCGCATCCAAGGGGGAGTGTTGAAAATGATGATAGGTAGTGAATGCCCACAGTATCTTGGTGGAGTTTTTGAATGCCCTCACAAATTGGTTTTTAACATTGGCATTGTTTATGACTACACACACATTGTCAATTCCCATAATAAATTGAAAACTGACTTTGGGAATGCAGGATATCATATTGTCAAAAAGTGTGTTGTAAATTCAAATGTAGTAATACGAGCTGTTTTATAAATAGAGCACTCGACTGCAATCAAAAGATACAGAAAAATATAAAAGAAGAGAACGAGAGAAAAGATCAATAACATCATCTATTCCTCCGTTTTTTATTTGTTATCCTCTTGTGCTATAGTTTTAGTGTGACATCTTACATCTGCCTCGCACCTACCATTAAAAAGTTATCTCTCTAACTTTGATTTATTTATAACATGCAGTAGCTATAACCAGAGAGATGTATGATGATAATGGTATTTTAATTGGAGGTCAGTCAAATATTAATATTTTGGAAACTTTAAAGAAAAATTATATTTTTATACTAAAAAGTCAATTATGATATTATTTACTTTACCTTCTATTTTGTCTTTATCCTTAAAACTCAAAGTTTTTAAGTTATTTTCATTCGTTAAAATTCAATTTTGTTCATTCATCGTATAACATACGGTCATAAATTAGTTTAAATTTTTTATTTAAAATTATATATAAATAACACATAATAAAAATTAATCATACAAGTACGATGAATGAACATAATTAATTAATTCTTTAGATCTTCACAAAATAATCCGAAGTTCTTCATCCATTCAGATGCTTTCCCCTTCAGAAACCTCTTTCTGAGATTTATCTTCCAATCTAGTGATTAGTGTCGGCCTTGAAATATGTAAAATTATAAATATACAGAGTGGTTCAGAAACCTCTTTCTAAAATTTATGGGGAAGATAACAGTTTGACCTTGAAAAATATAGAATTATAAATATGCAAAGAAACACGCCTATCCAAATTTCAAAGAGAAACTTTTTTTGTAATCAAGAAAATAATCTGAAGTGCTAATAGGTGTTTGTGATACCACTCATTTTGGTGAAATTTTCAGTCTTTCATTTCATCATCTGGGTCCCCATTAAAGCAAAATAAACGAAAAGCTAATTGAGTAAATTTCACGAATGAGTGGGGTTAACTTTGCATATTTGAATGAGGATTCTTTCATGATTTTCTTTGTGAGGATTTTATGAATTCTCGTATTTTATTTGTTTACAATATATTGATAGATAATTTTTGATAAGTATTATTTACATTTAATTTTAAATAAAAAATTTGAAATAATTAATAGTTGCACGTTGTACAGTAAATAGATACAATGTGATTACTCCTGGACTCTTCACAAATTCACAAAGAGGATTCAGATGAAATCCAAATCTTGCAGATTTGCCTAATAAACCAAATTATTTTTGTTATTATTTGGAAAGAGAAGCGGGTTAAATTGTTTGAAGTTTGAACTTTAAAATAAGAACAGTATGATGCAAACAAAAGATGGATGCTGCTCTCTCACACCACCTGTTTAAATATGCAGCCGGGCAGATTCCATATCACCTTCACCTATAAAGAGAGAGAGAGAGAGAGATGACATATAGAGAGGGGGAGAGAGCAAAGGTTTGACAGAGCAGAGTTCCTTCTTGGTTCTTTTCGGCAAGAAGTTTCTCCGTACTTTCATCATCCCCAACTTTATATACAGACTGGCGTATCGTTTCGAGTTCCGATTTGCTCTGAGGTTTAGGTTTTGGGGAAGTTTCCTTTTTGTTTTTGTGGGGTTGATGAAGTCAGATGGCTGATGAAGTTGGATTTCGGTTTTGGGGTCTAAGGCGGGCAGCAATTGTTGTGACTGGTGTTCTTGTTATAGCTTCAATAGCTGCTTCGGCACAAGAAACTCTGCAGCAAGATGATTCCGCGACGCAACATTACTTGAACAGAATGTTAAACTTTCTGTGGCAAAAGGGTCGATTGGCGTATGAGCACGTTTGGCCTGTAAGTGTTGATTTTCTTTCCCTTCGTGATCAGTTTTTCCTATTTAATATTTCTTGAAATGTTATTTTCTATATCAGTTTTTCCTTCATAAAACCGATTGTAACCTAAATTGTGCACAAAATCGAATAGTTGATTCATCTGATTGATTAGTGTTCTTAAAATAGTTCAACAAAGCTCCAATTTTTTGGTTAGTGACTGTTTGAAACTGGATATGATTTGGCCGAACTGAAATATGCAGGAAATGAAATTTGACTGGAGAATTGTGGTAGGCACTATAATTGGATTCATTGGGGCTGCATTTGGGACCGTGGGAGGTGTTGGTGGGGGAGGCTTTTTCGTTCCAATGCTCACTTTGATCATCGGATTTGATGAGAAATCATCAACGGCAATATCCAAGTGTAAGTCCTTTCTCACAAATTTTCCCTTCTTGTTTTGTGTTCTTTTGCAATAGGCGCTTCTTTTTTTTTGGATTTTATAATCACTTAGCACCTCGAAGATCATCCTAGTTTATATTTTCTTTCACCAAATGATGTGTGTGTCATTGCCTTATTATACCACCATCCATTAGATTGATATATAGGTCAATATTTACCTCTTTCACCTTGCAAATATAACAACGTTTGTGCTTCAATCTGGTTTTTCAGGTATGATCACAGGCGGAGCAGCTGCAACTGTTTTCTACAATTTGAGGCTAAGGCATCCTACACTCGACCTTCCAATCATCGACTATGACCTGGCACTTCTTGTCCAGCCAATGCTTATGCTTGGGATCAGTATTGGAGTATCTTTCAATGTGATATTTGCTAACTGGATGATCACAGTGTTGCTAATGATCTTTTTCATAGGTAAGAATTATATGAAATTTCTTGTTTCATCTGGGACAACTTGTTTAAGTATGGTCACGACCTGTAGGCACATCGACTAAGGCATTCTTGAAGGGAGTCGAAACATGGAAGAAAGAAACTATATTAATAAAGGTCGACTCTAAAGTTTTCATTACATTAATTTTTATAATGTTTGACTTAATCAAACTCTGCAATTCCGTTGACTTCTTTTTGTTTTGGTTTTTTTTTCAGGAGGTTGCCAGACTAATGCAGTCAAATGGTGAGTTGATCATATCATTGTAGCTTTGAACCAGTAATCTTTCACCTATACTGGTTAATGTGCCGATATTTTTGATTCAGGTAGTTCTAGTGACGACGAAGTTGAATACAGACCTCTAGCTAGTGGCCCAAGCAGTGTATTAGCCACCAAGGAGTCCAAAAGAACAGAGGTATGATTTTGGCGGCCTGAACTTCCATTTACGCATGATTGTAGAGACTGACTTCTCTAACCTTTTCAGGTTTCTATTATGGAGAATGTTTACTGGAAGGAATTACTACTTCTTGTTGCTGTCTGGGTCATAATACTTGCATTGCAGATCGCAAAGGTATATATATATATATATCTATCTCTATGTGGTTGATTTCTTTAAAAGCTTATGATTTTGCATTCGCCTTAAGTTTATGCATTAAAAACTGGATTCATGCGAAGCTTATTTGTTGTTGGCAGAATTATACGACAACTTGTTCAGCAGAATATTGGGTATTAAATCTCTTGCAGGTACCTTCCATGCCCTTCATAACAAGAAAACATTGCTTTCCATATTCTGCTCTTGAAATACAAGCCCCCTTACGAGCTTGAATGAATTCAATTGTTGTTTCAAAAGTGTCGTTTTCAGCTTTGTTCTTCCTTAAACAAAATTTCTAGATCCCCGTGGCTTTGGGAGTATCTACGTACGAGGCAGTTAACCTGTACAAGGGCCATAGAGTGATTGCATCCATGGAAGAATTAGGCACAGATTGGAAGGTCCATCGGCTTTTTCTTTATTGTGGCGGTGGAATCACAGCTGGTATAGTTGGTGGATTGCTTGGTCTTGGTGGTGGCTTCATTTTAGGCCCTCTTTTTCTTGAGCTGGGAATCCCACCTCAAGTAATTTTTATACTCTCTATCTTTAATGCCTTCACATAATTCTGTTTAGGGTCTTAGTGATAAGTTGTATTTGATCCTAAAACTATATATGACACACCAGCCCTTTCGTGGTATGCATGAAGATTATTTTCTTACTTGCCTCGTTGGTTGATTATATATCGTTCTGCAGGTGTCAAGTGCCACTGCCACATTTGCCATGACATTTTCTGCATCAATGTCTGTGGTCGAGTACTATCTCCTCAAACGTTTTCCAGTTCCCTATGGTAACTTCCTAGCCTTACCATCAAGTTTCTGTTAAATAAAATGTTGAATGGTAGGAAGCCTTTTGGTCATTGTTAAATTTCCATTGCAGCTCTGTACTTTGCTCTCGTGGCCAGCTTGTCTGCCCTGGTAGGGCAACATGTGGTGAGAAAGGTGATCAGTGTATTAGGGAGAGCATCCATAATTGTCTTCATTCTAGCCTCCACAATCTTTGTGAGTGCAATATCACTAGGTATGTATCTGTCCCCAAAAAAGGTTACCAAACGGACCCGTATTTTTGTGAGATATCGAATTCAGTTTCGTTACATTTTCCGCTTCGAGATTGATGGATGATTGATTTGTTTTGAAACAGGTGGGGTTGGGATAGCAAGTATGGTTGAAAAGATTGAGAACAAAGAGTACATGGGATTTGAAAACATATGCACTTATGATGCCTAGTTTCAGTAACTTGTTCTGCCTTGAGTTCCCCAGTGTCACCGATCTCAAACATTCCATCAACAAATGTATAACTTTTTTGTTGGATTTTTCTTGATGTTGGGTGCTACTTGGAACTTTTTTGGACCTACTAATTACGCTGGTCCTATTAGGACAAGTGAACTGCACTGAAAGTGAAACTAATCAATTCAAGGTCTCCAACTCCTTTTTGACCATTTGGTAAAGTTTAAAGCAATTCAACAAGTTTTAAAGTAGTTGAGGGTAGATAATTCAATGGTGGGTGTTTTAATAGAAGACTTAAAGTCAGGGTTGTTAGAGTGGATTGGCTTGGATATGACTATTTACTATTTTAAAGGCATTTGAAGGAAGAAATGAATGACAACTTTCTTATTTTGTCCAAGTTGAAGATTATCTATGAAGAAAAGTTGCCTCTTTTAATCCTACCATTTTGCGGGCATCATCATAAATATATTTTCTTCATGAGTAACCTTTAACTTGGACAAAATACGGAAGTTCTCATCCATTCCTTCCTTCAAAATGTTTTTAATATAATTGTTGGCCCCAAAAACCACCTATCCTATGTTGCGTGCATGTCGAATAGCTAATAAGTTAACTACGTCATTCAGTTGAATGCAGGGCGTGTCAACTTGTTGGCCGAGCTCAGTCGGAGAGTGAATGAATGTTGATGTGGTGTTGGGAGCACATACGACTTTTGAATCTTGCGATTGCGGCTAAGGAAGGAACACGTCTTGGCCTTTGGGTTCTTGAGCCTGAAGACAAGACTGCTAGTTTCTCCAAAGTTCAATATCAAATTCGGCTCAGGTTACGACATTCAGTATGCTGAATATCGTAACCTGGTAGCACCTCACTTCAATGAGAAGGTTAATGAGATGACCTCTTCCAATAAGGATTTGAAGATTCCTTGTTGACCGAGGCTTGGATAGATAACCAGTAGGTCTCAAAGTAGTGCTGTTTATCCAAATTGAAGGTGTTATTCGGTTGACTGATTCTAAAGCTCCAGTATTGTTTATGCAAACTGAAGATGTTGTCAGTTGCCAATACAGTGCTGTTTATCCAAACTGAAGGTATGTTGGCGGAAAAAAGGTAAAATAAAAATCTCAAAAGTATTTGAGAGGTTTCGCGTAGGGTGAGAGTTTGCGCAAGACAGTTTTGTGTGTTGATTTGGAGGGGCTTTGAATGATGTACCCTCCTCTCTATGTATTGTAGCAATTCCTCATGGCTGAAGTAGAATTCTACTTGAACTTCAATTCCTTTATCAAATCTGAATGGGCTTCGGCCAATCCTGGTTCATGTAGGATTTTGAATCTAACTTTATTATCACCTAGATTCAACCGTTCATTCTTGGCATCTTTTCCTATTTGGAGTATAACTGGCCTCTGAGGATTCCTTATTATGCTAGGACTTGGCCACTCACCCTTATCCAAATGAAACCATTTCCTAATAGAAGTCGGCCTAATCTTATTGGGCGGGGCCTTTGGTGAGAATATTTTGAAATACTTGATGCCTTTTTTTATTGGACCGAGAGTGCTTATGGGCTCGGCCCAAAAACGTTATTTTGGGTCCCAACAATAATGAATAGTCATATCCAAGTTAATCCTCTATATCAAACAAGGCCTAAATCTCTTGAGGCAAATGAGGTTGCACTGCCCGACCAAAATGTTACATCGGGTAAGCTTTATAAATAAACAAAATAATTAAAAATATAGACGGCTTACCCACGACTAGGGGTGCAACTCTAGCGGGTTAGAAGGTCAGCCCAACCCGAACCCAACTTTTACAATTTGGGTTCGGGTTCACGTTGGGTTTTAATTAGGTTCATTTGGGTTCGGGTTTACTTGGATTGGTTTCGGGTTGCCCAACTTTTTCAAGTTTTAATCAGTTTCATGCAAAGTTTGAGTTAAAATACAAGAAATACCAAAGCGAGTACCAAAAGAAAAAAAAAAAAAGGAAAAAAAGAGGAACACTTCATTGTCCAAAGCTAGTACCCAACTCAGGTCTTGTCTTTTGAAGCTCTTGCAGAAAAACAAAGCTAGTACCCAACTCAAGTCTTGTTCTTCGAAGCTCTTGCAGAAAAATCAAAGTGTGGCTACTAGAAAAACAATTGCTTTCTGCAACTCTTCTATCATAATCCATCAAAAGTCACTAGTGAATCCTCCACGACGGTGCAAAGGTCATTGAGAAGTATGTTGCACAGCTCAACCCAATTGGGTTGGGTTGGGTTGGGTTGGACAAATGATCAATCTAACCCAACCCAATCAATGAACATGTTGAAATCAGATTGGGTTCTGGCGGGTTATAACTAAAAAAAAACCCGCTTGTTCAGGTTTAAAGTCGGGTTGAACATGGACGGGTTCGGGTTGGCCTAACCCAAGTTGCACCCCTACCTAAGACATCTTTTGTGGAGCAAGAGTTCTTTAATATTAAAAATATAAGAATGTAATTTTTTTTAAATTATGTTTAATTTTAATCAATTAACCTTTATCATTTTAATCCCACAAGATATCACAATAAAACAAAACAAAATTTATTGTTAAAGCCAAAATGTTTGTGCAATTATATTAAAACTAAAAAAAAAAATTATTCACACTGAAACTGTTTCACTCCTCTAACTATTTCACCTGTGAAGACGTCCATCTCTAGGAATTAAAAACTCTAAAAATAATCGCAGAGCTAGTGCCACTCGTCCATTCTATGCTCAAACCTATAGGGCGAGTGGGTATGAGCTTCATAATGAGTTTCTAAAGTCCTGTAGTGTCTACACAGCTCATACTTCCACTCTCTTAAGGAATTGGCATGTGTAAACTTTTTAAGTTGTAACGTTGTTAGTTCTCTTTGGAATTATATGAAACTCATGCGATTGTGCGGAAGTATACTTGCTTGATCTTGATGTACTCTTTTTCCGTATGATTAGGAGGAGTTGACGAAAATGACCATAGCTACATGTTTTGATAAGTTAAGGGACCAATAGTCATGGATTTTTAATTGAGGACCATTGCTCCAATTAAGTTAAAGTTGAGGAACCATTGCTACAATTTCCTCTTTCCTATTGGTGACACATCATTTGGTTTGCAAATTTGGTTTAAAAATTTGGTTTTCCTAGCATTATCCTTATTTATCTCCTTACACATCTAATCTAAAAGTTTTAGGGTTAATTATAATTTGCATCCTTAAGTTTGGGTGCAAATGTAAACTCATACCTTATATTCAAAAGGGTAATGCAAGGGAAACCAAAATTTTAAACTAAATGATGTGGTTGTTGATGATTGGACTTTTAATTGGATTATTAATTCAGTTTGCAAATTTGGTTTAAAAATTGAGAAGCCCTAGAGAGACCAAAATTTTAAACTAAATCATATGTCACCGATAAGAAACAAGCACATTAATTAACACTTAATTAATATTCAATTAACAACTACATCATTTGGTTTGCAAATTTGGTTAAACAATTTGGTCTCTTAGTATTAGGATTATTACCCTTAAAAATTTGATCTCCCTAGCATTATCCTATTTAAAATATGAAGAATGCTAGCTATTTTCCACTTGCCTTTTCCACTTGCCTTTCCCACTTGCCTTTCCCATTCATTTCTTGCAATGTAAACCCCATGTAAACTCCACTGTTACTTTAAACTCTATATTTAATGTGTTGAAATTTTAGATATTTAACTTCCTCATATGCCCTTGAGTTTTTTTAATTCCCTCCGTTTTTGTTGATCAAATACTATTTTCCATTTATGTTTTTGTTGTGAAGTAATAAAAACCCACTACTAAGCACCACCACCTAGCCCTTTGGCACGACTCCATGTTCCTCTACCCATCTATGGCCAACCAATCCATGGGATACGACGCCTCCAACCTCGTAGTCCCACCCTTGATCTTTCCTTTCCCCATCCCTTGATTTGCCGCCATCTAACTGTCCTTCCCTTCTGAATTGCAGATACATAGAGGAGACGAACTCTTGATCACGATCAGGCACAATTTTTTTTTCTTTTTTGTAACGAGTCTGAGTTTTTAGTTTGATTAGTGCGATTCAAGTGAGTATGTTGTTTGATTTTGAGAAGGAAAATATGAGTTTCAAGGTTGGTTTCATTTTCTGCAACTTTTTTTAACAATCCATCAGTGGAAGGACATGGGCATGAGAAGAAGAAAAAAGAAAAGAGGAAGCGGAACTACTAAATTAACTAGGGTTGGGAAGAGAGCTGGTAGATTAATTAGGGGTATACTTGGAAATTAAATATTTAGAATTTCAAGACAGTAATTATAGAGTTTAAAGTGATAATGGACTCCACATGACAAGAAATGAATGGGAAAAGGCAAGTAGGGAAAGGTAAGAAGGAAAGGTAGCTAACGACCCTCAATTTCGTACATTACTTACATAATCTGCTAAATTGACCGTTAAGTGATGGTGTGGTAATTGTGGGTTCTAGATTTTATCTATCCACTTGTTATACTCTAATTGATTCATAGTTATGAAATTCTTTGGTGTTACAAAGTGAGGATATGTGTGTAGTGAAATATAAATTAAATAAGACACAATATTTACGAGGTTCAGCAAGTGTGCTTACGTCCTCGGAGCAACAGTAATACTTTCTTTTTTTATTTGAAATAATATGAGTACAAAGATATCTCTCACTATTGTTCTTTCTTCTCTCTAGCCTTCCAACCCTAAAAAGTCCCCGGGGCAATAGGCAATTCAATTCCCCAAGTGAATGGTAACTACCTTTAGTGAACAGTTATTGTCCAAGTGCATCTCAACCCCTAAACTAAATAGCCCAGACAATTCATATTAAAATACTATTAGTTTTTGTAATATAAAATAATACAAGATAATTTTATTTTTAATTTCGGATGGTAATAAAAGATTAAGTGAAAATATTTGAAAATGTTGAAATATGGTGCAAGGTGGAAGAACATGGTTAGGTATTTATAGAAAAAGAAAATTATTATTTTTCATATTTTTAATTAATTTTTATACCTTTTTATAGTATATATATATATATATATGTTTTTTTTTTTTTTAGTTAATTTTCTATTAATTTTTCAATTGTAGCTGACATCAGCTTTGCGTCACATAGTTTAGGGCCTAGACTAGTTGATTTTAGCCTAAGTGAGCAACTAGGCTCCCGCAGAGCCCAGTGGATTGGAATGGTGTGGAAGAGTTTTGGGGGGAGGGAGGGGATTTACTCCACTATCCCCT